GTGGGTCAATAAAATTATATATTAAGGTGTTGTCATCTTTGTTTTCTCTAAGCCTAAGTTGTTTTCAGCCAGCAAGTGACTCTGGTCAAGAGCCAGGCGGCCTTCGTACTCTATCCGCTCCTTAACAAAACGTCAAAATTTCCCTTCGAAATAAGGTTACTTTATATAAGGTAAACGTAACCCTGACGATAAGGCGACAATCGCCATCGACAGGATTAAAAAACTATGCAAGCAGCCGGGTTGGGTTGAGTGCGGCACACATATACTAGGTTCCGCCACGTACGTGGCAGTTTCTCTCCAGTCAATGATAGAAGCATTGCTGGAGTTTCTTCCGCCATTTCTTCTTTCAATTCGCCAATGCTTTTCGACATGGTAGTAATCTTAGATCTAGAAATTCTCACAGTCAGACAATAGCTACCGATCTAGCCGAGGTCCGGCCCTCTCGGGCACTCTGGAATCGGAATGCTAAACGCGTAATGAGTGACAGCCCACGCGGAGGCCCCCTCTCGGGGACCCTTGTGCCTAGTCACTCCATGGAGCGATCACAAAAGCGCCCTAAGAGCTTGGTGGCCTACCAAACCGGTGATAATAATAGCGTGACGACCCGAGCCGATGCGTCCTCGAAAGCCCTCGAGCTTAGTCACCATAACGCGTAATAATAATACGCAGAGGTTCAGGCCAGCCCAAGCCCGTCGGTACTGTAAAGGCCTCTAAAACCGTGGCTCAAGCCCAAAAAAAAGGTGGCGCACACGGGATAAAATTTTTATGTATTTTTCTTTTGTTACGCTAAAGAAGAATTACGCGCGTACTTAATTACACACATACTCTTTTTAGTGTCAAAATCGGCACTAATACGCAAATTACATTGGAATGAATCTTCTTCGACATGTCCAATTATTGAGTTGGCGTCATGTTCGCAGTAATTAATCTGGCTTTGATTTTGTTATTCGGTTTGCCGCATTTCGATCGTAGGTAGTCATAAATCGGATGATCCAGATATCGGAGTTCGGAGAACGCATGAGTTCACTTCGTCAAGTAGAATCCTCTATTAATATGTAAGAAGCTTATTCCAGGAAACTATTTGTTCGATATAAGGCGGAAAAGAACAAAGTTGGCAGTAACCTAATAGATTATGTATCACGCGTGACGTAATGAGGTGGAATATAAATATAAAACTATTTTTGTATAGTATTGTAATACGTAAAATAATTTTTTCATATACATTATCCGTATTTTACTTTCGTATCATTGTTTTTAAAGCACTACCATCTTAGAATTGTAGTAACGTATAGGTGCTACACATAGTATACCAGGGTCTGTCTATTTGCGAGTGTGTATTTACTAATAGCAGACCTCGGGGTTCAGAAAAATATTTTCCATATAAACATACCCCACTCGCGATTAGCATTACCATCATTATATATCAACAGTTACAGAAACGCGTTGTAAGTGCAATAATTAATACGGTCTAATGCCACTATGTAAGGATTTACAATTACCAAACTTTAACCGTATGCATAGTCTTTCGCTGGCAGTCATACACTGAAAGGGGTTGGTTTTGACATAAAAAGAAAATTTTAAAAATAGCAAACAACATAAATACAGCTCTTTCAGGGACATAATCTAATCAAAGATGTGGTAACGTAATTCTGAAAACAACCGCGCAAAATATATAAATTAAGGGAAGAATTTTTTTGTGTTAAAACATATTATGCTTTCAAACATTGAGAATTTGCGGACTTGACCTATAATTTACTTTTACTATTTTATTTTATTTTTAAGACTGTTTTATTAATTAATCTTTTTTTCACGGTTCAGTATGTGATAAATCAGCACTAAAATGACTTCTTAGTGTCGGCTCCGAACTTTGTAATTATCGTACTTTGCTCGAGTGAACAGAAATTAAATGATATATAGTCAGAAAGTACGATTAGAGCTTTCTATAAACTTACTAGCTATCATTATTGCATAACGTTGAATTTCGAAAATTTTAAAACAATGTTTTAAAATTTTAAAACCCTATTTGAAGACACAAAATTACGTTGAAATTAAGTTTGCATGTTGACTAAATGATATTACATGTTGACAATTATGTGTTCTGATCTGGCTTGTTGGTTGTTTCACCTTTATGATTATGGGGTCCAATATGATCCAGGTGAATAATTCCAAATAGGCAGCCTTTTTTAGAGTTCCGTACTCAAATGGTAAAACGTACTTGTAAAGCGTATTACTAAGACTCCTTCTGTCTGTCCGTCTGTCAACAGGCTGTATCTCATGAACCGTGATAGTTAAACATTTGGAATTTTCACAGATGATATATTTCTGTTGCCACTATAACAACAAATACTAAAAAACAGAATAAAAATGTTAAAGTGGGGCTGCCATGCAAATGAAATGACTTTTGGCCGTTTTTATAGATAATGGTACGGAACCTTTCGTGCGTGATTCCGACTCGCACTTGGCCGGTTTTTTATTAAAGTGGGGGAAATGGCTACGTGTACCCGTACTCGCGGAGGCAAAAGAGCTCGCTGAAAAGATGCCAAGGGAGCCCTCCGGCTATTAGCACCAGCGCTCTTAGATCTTAGATCTGAAGTGAGTTCAGTGGCGGAACTGTTCTGTGGTTTCACCACTCACCACGTTTTGTTCGCGGAGGGTAGGAAGGACGGGTTATCTCGGTACCGAAACTCCTCTCTTCTTCCACCACTACTGCATGAGTCACGGAGTATAGGGAGAGCGGCCAAATGTCATACAATCCTCTTCCCCCCACGACTCATGTCTTCCCTCACGGCCGGCCCAGTGTGCGTCCTTCTTGGCTTCATTGTGGGTGACCAAGCTACGGATACTAAGTTCATCCGCTGCGACAAGGCTGGAACCCGGCCAGAGGTGTAAATAGGCGCCTGCTGCAACTTCCAAATATTACAATTGCAAAATTTTATTTCTATTTGTCTTGTATCACTAGCTGCTGCCCGCGTCTACGTCTGCGTAGAATAGGCTGAAGGCGTAACACTCGGACAGAAAGACAGATATACATAAAAATATGTATATAAATTATAGCCAATGTGTTATTCTGATGTAGCTTATACATCAGAATAACACATATTATTGCAGTTTCATTAAAATCCATTCAGTGAAAGAGTAACAAACATCCATCCGTAAATACAAACTTTCGCGTTTATAATATTAGTAAGGATTTCGGTAACAATTCAAAACACATGCTATATGACGCATGAGAGAAGCGTTTGGATTCCAACGTTGTATGTTTACGACTTTGTCTATCAAATCGTAATTGATCTTATATTAAAAAATACCCTCAAGTTAATAAAACCGTACACTGCTCGAGTAACAGAAGTACCGAATCTCTGCATTTCTTGATATAAAATAATAACAGATATTTTATATCATCGACCATTTCCAAGTCCACATATTATCTAACATAAGAAAATCATAAGTTACGAAAGTAGTATTTATTAAAAGTAACTCGCAGTATACTACAGTTGTTTCTAGCTCATCGGGCTGGACGTTCCTTGGCCATTGATTCTGGAAGTTTCTGAGCCGCGAATTGAATTTAGGCGTTGGTCACACACAGGCCGGCCTGTAGCCATTATATAAGATGTAGTTATCGCTCGTAGTAACCAACATCACAATGTTTTAGTTGAACAGTAGTAGACTAATGAAATAGAATTGTAACCAGATAATAGACATGGGAATTATCATTAGTCCCGGTTTACCCTTAGGGTACGGAACCATAAAAAAGCGGGTACCTGATAATCACCAGACGAAACGCGAAAGTATAAGCCTGCCCATATGCTGAAGCTGTGGCCCTACCACAGAAAACTATAAATTAATACGAAAGGATCAATTATATACTATTAAATGTATAATACCTAAAATAATATAAACGGAAGGAGTTTCATTACCTTGAAGATAGTAGGAATAGCACAAAACGCAATGTAGCGTGTATAGTTTAAATTGAATGTAATGCTATAAAGTTTTTTAAAGTTGAGTACAATGAAAAATAGACTCAGAGAATGCTAAGGAATAATTTCGTTACAGAATTCGATAAAACTTATCCACAATTTGTGACAATTAACCTTCTACTGTTCATATATTTAAATATACTGCATAATCCTGCTTACATTTTACGGCGCAAATTAAAAACCTGACAATTTTTAACGTCAAAAACCTAAAGCTGGAACTTCTCTTCATAAATGTTTCTGGCTGTAAGTCAGCAATTCTCCCCAGCGAGTTTGGAACAATGGGCACAATGGATACGAGCAGCGCGGCGCACTCAATAACGTTTTCAATCTTACGCGAGTATCTCTAGCTAGAACACTGTGTATGTGTGTTTGCTCTATGACGAGCTTTGTGCTCGTGTGTGCGTGTACAGCAATGTAAACACTTCTCCGAATTCCATGTTTACGTACAAGATAGATTAAAAAGATTTGTTTTTGCCAACTAGGTTTATAATAATTTTATTTGAATAAATCGCATAGTAGTAAAAACAGTTTAGTATTATAGGTAAGGTATTTTTATAGTGTTTTATTTGCACGAACGTGTTTAACGTTTTATTGGTGGTAGTCGAGAAAATTTTATGTGTTTTTACTGTTTCCTAGATTCACCCAACGAATGTTGTTGAAAGATCGCTACTCTATCGATATCACATATCGTTTATAGGAATAACGTATTAAAAGACTAGTGGTACATATCGCTTAGCGATACGGTAGTTCACTGTTGGATGGGACTAGACAGTTTTATGAGTTGCGGATATTGTTAATGCGTTCGTGTTTACGAAGCCGCTCTGTTTCGTAAACACCAAACTTTTCGTTCAACGCGGCGCCCGATGAGAGATACGAACACGACCGCGCTTACTCACAGACCGTCCGTTGCTCCCAGGTGGCAGTGTTAATTGGTAATGGCGTCAGCGGCGTGCAAATAGTGCGTGCCGGAGCGCGTGGGGCGCGGCGATGGTCCCGCGGCGCACGTAGCGCGCCGGCACCGGCATGGAGGAGGACGAGCGGCGGTTGTCTTTCCCGCCGCCGGCGCCGCTCCACTCGCCCGGCGAGGAGATCGACGGCTCGCGGCTGCTCGGCGAGATCGTGCGCACGCTGGAGGCGACCAACCCGGAGGCGGCCGCGCCCCTAGCGGCGTCGCAGTCGCGCGACGGGCTGCGCGCCGAGTGCGGGCCGCCGCGCCGCGACGAGCTCCGCATCCCGCTCGACGTGACGTTCGCCAGCGAGACGGTGGGCGGGCGCGACGAGCCGCGCGCGCTCGTCACGCCGTTCACGCGCGAGTCGGCGAAGCGCGCTGGCTCGCGGGGCGCCCAGCTGGTGCGCGAGTTCGGCTTCATGCCCCGGCGCCGGCTCAGCGTCGAGGACGGCGCCCGCCTGCCGCGCAAGTACGAGCCCTTCCCGCCCAAGCTGTACGGCCGCCCGCTGGAGGAGATCGACAACTTCATCTACGATGAGGTGAGTGCACTCTATTTACGACATTGCCTTGATAAGATAGATGCAATATGCACGACTACAAAGTATGGTGCAAAATTTGTCAACAAACATTTACTAAAGTTATGTTTAAAACGCTGTTTGATTATTTGTTAGCAAACTGATCGATTTATTCTATATGTCATATTTTTTTAAATATTGTATGTAAAAGTTTAAAGTTACCAGTACTTACTCTGCTTATAGTGTCTTGTTACACACTTTAAATTGACAACAATACGCTCAATTGTAAATTTTAAAATCTGCGAGCCGCTACTGCCGAATTGTGTGCTTTTACGATGCTTGCGGGACCATATCGTACTTCACCGCTATAATACTATGTAAACAAAAGATGTATTTTAATCAATAAACAATACCTCGTCATATCTTTGCCAACAAAGCTCCTCTATACGTTTGATCATTTTTAAATTTTCTTTTAATTGTTTTACTGTAACTCTTGATAAGAACCCATTTTGGTAGTGGGTTTGATTCCTCCTTAACCTATGAGAGTTCTTATGGCTCATAGATAGAATAAAAAATTGTGTAAGAATAACTTCCTTAGAACAAAGGATAACGTGATCCTACAGTGATAATTAAACAAGAAAAAGTCTTCATAGTTGAAACGAATTATTAAATAAAAAAATTATATTACATTCAGAAGAATGCGCAATACAAACGGTTTGGATCGTTGGTTCCAATCGAAACTGACAGTCAGTAAACACGAAAGCCCATTACTTCATAATGCGCCCTTAAGCTTTTTACTACCGATTGACGGGACTTCCGGACGTAATGTAAGTTTACACTCTTTGGCTGCCCGCAAAACGTGTCGTTTGAAATGATCGCCAGTAAACGGCACGATTAGCTGATACGACATTTGAACAGTTACTGTTCGGCCTGTGTATAATCCGGTTCGGCTACCGGCCTACGAGATTAATACACAAATAAATTATAAACAATAAAGTTGATTTTTTTTAAAATAAAGAATGGAACAAACGGAATGTCGTCCGTTATATAAGGAATATTATAATTATTAAAAAAAAAAATCGTATTATACAACATAAAAAAAAAATGTATAAATTTCATCACATCCGTGTTTGATAATGTGCTAGATACATCTACTCGAGACCTTAAAAGCTCTAAAGGTCAATTTTATCGTCAATATCAGTTCACGACATAATACTATCTATCGGTGCTATCAAATGGCAATAAATAAAAGGTTATTTTACCAATAAAGTTTTATGTAGTGATTCTTCAAATATGAACAATAATGTTTTATTGTAACTAAATGGATATTGTCCATTCAGTAATACGGAACCACTCGTATCTCAAAAAAGGGATACCTATCTATAACAAATATTTATGTTAAATTCATATTGTTAATGTGACAACCGAGTTAGCTTAACCACAGTCAAATTGCCAAACTAATGCGTTGTAAATATTCTACAAACTTGTTAGAGTGCATTACATTTTGTAAATACCCCGTGGGAACGAAAATTTTTGTGGCGTGAATCTCTCTGAATATTTTTTCTTATTCTATTTCATAGGTCACCAAAAGGGACCCACAGATATGATCTCCAATAAAAAGGGAACATAACGGTTCACTATCTCGCGCTAGTGTCAGCTGTTTCCTCAACCTTTTACATTGAATTAAGGCGACAAAAAATTATCACTCACAATTTCCATCAGCACTGCGCTAGAAGGTGTCGGGGAAATTGTTTAAATCGTGATAAAGCATGAAAGGAAATTAAGTTTTACATGTGAAAATGTTTCACCTGTACGTGTAACATTTATTGGTAAGCGATAATATACGAGTATTAGCTTCCTCTTTTCAACGTAAATGGATTAAACAGCAACAGACCCAGTTTTTGTAAGGGGTATTTGATGCAGTCAGGTGACAAGTTCGAACAGTCTCAGCTCGTCCTAATGATGTAATCTTATAGGAGCAATAAGGTGACATAAAATGAAACAGTTATAATGTAAGAAAGATAGCTTATAATTTAAACATGAAATAGTTTTTATGTTATATTAGAAGTTTCTTTCTGGATAGTAAAGTTTTTATTTACATTTCAACGATTTGAATAAACAACTAATATATGTCTGCACTAAGCTATAAAGGTGCACATCAATCGAGGACGATATTATAGTTTTTAATATTATAAATACATGTATATAAAATAATAAAAAGGTTAAGAAACGTTACGTAACAAGAGGTATGAGGTTTCTAAAGATATCATGTTTATGTCCTAGGCTTAACGCCGCGGCTGGTGACAAGAGAGCTGGTTCTTTTCTCGTGCAAAGGTTAAGCATAACTATTCAGCGAGGAAATGCAGCTAGCGTTCTTGGCACCATGCCGCGTGGATTAGGTTTATTAGATAATATGTAATTTTAGATAGATTTAATCTTGTAAATATTAGATCAATAAAGATTCTTTTAAACTTTATTGAAATTGTACCGCTACTTACAGCACAAAAACAAAAAGAGCCCGTAAGAGATATGCAAATGATCTCTGCTTTCACATTAACTTGAAATGTAATACGTCTGCAATTACTTTGCTAGTGAATGCTTCGTTTTCCCGTTAAAGCCACGCAATCATGTAGTTGCATACGTTTCTTTTAAGGTCATGATAAGTAATAACGACATCAGAGACCTAACTTGAATCATTTTATACTGTCTTATTATATATCAATGTCTTATTTTTTTAAACATTTGTATTATATTTAATCTTGAACGACTTGCTCTACTACTATACTACTACTATACTACTACTATAATAAACACCTTTTAACCACCGCAAATGAACGAAATAATATAAAGGACATAAAATCTTTACACAAAAATAAAAAATTTCTTTTCTTTGATCGCTACCAGTAAGAAAATGTTAATGAGGTCATTTTTTATCTGCGGTCAATTCTTATTCAGACCTCCCTTAAAATATTGATGATGCTGGATAATGAGAATCAACGGTACTCAAAAGATCTGAAAAAGTTCATTAAAATTAATATTTTATAATTATACAAGCAATTGACCAAAATCAAGGCTAGCTTTTTGGGAATTTTGAAATAAAATAGTTAACTTTATTTTTGAATTTCCTCCATTATAATTTTTATTTAAAATGTATTCGTTGCGATGTGATGTGATAAAGTATAAAATACTTATCCACGGTATTTTAAGTGTTAAAATTTTGCAGACAAAATGTGAATTTATTATGTATGCGAGGAGTAATTTCCGCTCTTTCATTTTAAATTCTGCTGTAATTCTGCATTTATTTCAATGTCATGAATATTAGTGACGTGCATAATCAGAAACAATATTTCACTATTTCACGTTCTATCTCAAAACAAAAGTAGAAAATCTTTTGGTTCGGTTATTTGATATTGATACACGAATCGTCATGGTATTTTGTCAGATATCCCGACATCTATGTATTCTCCGGTAAAATCAGTCCTTTTAACTCCTGTTAAATATGACTTTATCCCTGAATAGATTTGTTTAAGGGCACTGCAAAATGTAAATGTGCTGTATAATATGCACAAATTGACATACAAATCAATGACAACACTCAACTGACAGTAACTTCTAATGTCAGTTGGGTGTTGATTGATGTCTCTGACTAACATCTCCCAATATAACGTTTTACTATATTTATCACCTTTCTTAAAAGCTTAATGAGACCACGGTGTCGTGGAAAGTTCACAGCGACGTTTCGAGTGCCGTAAGCTATTCGAGAGGTATTCGAGTTTTTGAGTGCACTTTGAACAACCAAGTGCTGAATATAACTGAGAAAGCTTCAGATGTCTATATTGGAAACATTCCAGAATAGTTAACAGGTTGCATATTACCTTTTTGTAAGAGTTTTTTCTCGGCTACTAATTTCTATGTCCTACTTTTAACTTGTACAGTTAATAATGATAAGTATTTTTACGATTTTTTACGACGTTCTCTAGTCCCAAACGAAGCAACGCTTGTTATATGCGTACCAGATAATTGATAAACATACTTAAAATATCTTTTGTAAATAAATACATACTATACATATAATAGCACCCAGACACTGGAAAAACACTACGTTCATCACATAATGTTTTTCCAGTAGTGGAGATCGAACCCACACCCTCTGGCGCAAGAGCATTACCCACTACGCCAATCGGGTTGTCAGTTGTTCCAATCATTTTCAAAAAGTCCGAAAGATGTATACATCCTTTTTATGTATCGACGTATTTGAATGTTTCTTTCCTCTGGTAGAATGTGGATATTACATCACCTTTTCTCGTAAGTTATTGATAATATTTATACCAACAATAATTTTGGTAATAAATAAAAAAATACATACACCTTAGCAACCAGCAGTCAGAATTATATAAAATATATGCAATTTTAAAACAAACTTGATTAAAAAAAATATTGATTAAAACAATTGAAATTCAAAAATTCCAACTTTGAAGAATCTTTAAAAGTTTTCAACTCATAAGAATATTGTAATTGTATATTCTTATCTTTAAACTCTTAAAATAATAAGACAATTTTTAATAGGTGTATTTAAATTATAAAATAGGTTTTAAAATAAATTTAGTGTTATTGAAAAGGCATCGACCTGAATTAGTAACTTTTTTTAATATTACAGTTGTAAGCAAATGATGGAATTCGAGTAATGAATTTTGTAAAGGGCCTAAATTGTAACTTTTTGAATATATCATCATATATGCCGATGACATAGCGCTCGTTGACGAGAGCCGGCTGCAACTGGTGCAAAAAAACTCTAAAAGAGTACGCCTGAGGACCGGCGGTCTAAAACTCAATGTGACGAAGACCGAGTACATGATTTGCGGGAGTTCGGTCTCTAGCACAATCCAAATAGGTTCTGAACCAGTCGTTAAGTCGGAATCATTCTAGCTGAACAATTGGATCTGTTTTGCACCAGTCCGGAAGCTTCTACCATAATGCCCATGCCTGAATACTGCTTGGGCTAAGTGGAGGGAGTTCACAGGTGT